CACACACACACACACACACACACACACACACACACACACACACACACACACACACACACACAGAGACATTGTGAGTGAGACATTGTGAGTGATGGTGCCATCCATTATAGCTGACAGTTATTATGCATCTGTCAACAGGAGACAATCACTTAAAAGCGCTGTGTGTTTTTTCAGGCTGTGTATGTGAGTCTGTGTCTGTGAGTTTCTCAAGGAAGAGGAACTTCCTCAGATCCCAGTAAAAGTGATGAGGAAGAGGATTCTGTGTCCACCTTGTATTTATTGTCCATTCTCCTCACAGTTAACAGACCAGGAAGTCAGTCAGGGGACACAAGGTTTCATTTCCTTCTTTGTGAGCCATAAACTTGCAAACCAAAATGTGCAATCTCAGAGAATGATGTGTCTACTTTGCAACATTGTAGATTTGAGTGTAAGTAATTAATTCAGAAGAGGCAGTCAGTTCCTCCTACTACACTTTGTATACATGTGACAGAATGACATATCGCCTTCACAGTTATCTCAATTTTGTCTTCGGATACAACAGGCGTTAAACAGGAAACGTTTCTCAGCAGACACAAACTTCAAAACTCTCATCCTGTGTACCACATGCAAATATCCACACGCCCAGAGGAACCACTTCATTTCCTGAGGACATCCAGGCCCACAATGATCCACTTATGTGGTCACCTCTTCACCAGCGAAAAAGCTCAGTGGTCGACGATTCTGCTGAGATCTATTTTGAGTGAGGGAGGAGGAATGGAAACAAGTGTGTGGCCCAAGTGCAGGCCTCTATTTTCAGGTTACACACTGCTGTGAATCATAATAATTTAGGGGGGGGCTCTTGAAACAGGATTAACTTAACTTCGGTTAAGCAAAACCCACAGGTGTATGTGCGTTTGTATGTGTGTGTTTTGCTGATATTGTGAGAACCCTGTATGAATCCCTGGAAGTGCTTAGGGAGGCGCTGTCAGGAGTTTTTGTTGAAAGAACAGCTATAACAGCCCTGGATTTCTGGTTGTTTTTTTATAAAGTTGATGGAAAGGACATTTAGGAATATGTTGGCCTCACATTGTTCGTCCACATCTGAGATCAAACCACCGATACACTGATGGACGGCTCACTAATCCTGGCAAACTTTCACAGAGTTGTGGCTGGGGAGCTGGACCTGGAGTAAAAGTTCTTAACGGTAACTCTGGTCCTGACTCGCAGCTGCCCATAGCGACCCGCCCACCACCTCCCATCAGTCTCTGCGTCTGCGGACCTGACACGAGCCCTGACACCCAGTCAGAAAGTTAAAATCAAAAAAGAGAAGTCAGAAAATGTGGGAGCATGAGGTTCCATAATTCCAGAGCTGCTGGCATGATGAAGGATTTATGGCCCACCCTATGGGCTTCAGGGGTTGGGGGTGTTGCTGGGAGTGAGAGGTTAGGGGTCAGAGGTCGCGGGGCTGAGGGGTTGGTGGGGCACAGCTGCGGGGTTTGGGTTTGAATTTGGCGAGAGCAGGCGCTGCGTGTGTCAGCTCAACAGGAAAGGATCAGTTACTGGGCTGCTTTCTGACTGGACTCAATCAGCACTGATATAATGGGTAGCAGAGAGGTTGTTTGATCTTTTCGATTTATACACAGAAAGATGCAATAATTCTTATGGTATAGTTTGCAGTTAACCTTCACTAAAGCAAAGGAAACTAATAATACTGATGACATGAGTGGCATCCAGAGCAGCAAAATGAAACACGTCAGTGGGAATGGGGCTGAAACCAAGTCTTTTCATTACTCATTAATTGTTTTATAATCAATTTTTTATTAATTAATCAATTAATTCACTAATTGTTGGAGCTCTTCAGTGGAATTTCTGGTGTCTTTCTGGTGAATTTCTGGCTTCCTACTAGTGTTAATATAAAACTGATTCAGTGTCTGCCACTGACACCAAGCCTCATACTCACATGGACAAGTTGTTCCTGGGTGTCATACTCCTTGCTGCAGCCCTCCCAGTGGCAGTTGGTCTCATATACGGCCTCAGGTTCCTGCTTGCACTCGTCTTTATCCAGATCCTCACTCAAGTCCAAGATTCCTCCCCCATGGTCCTGGAGAAAGCAGAACAACACTTCTTATAGATCAGCAAACAAACTGTAAAAACTCTTGTATCCATTAATGCATGAAATAAAAACACAGGCAAACGCTATCTGCATGTTTTACCCAAATCCTCGGTCAATATGTTGGAGAAACATCCTGGACTAGTTTGCATTTGTCTTATCTTATCTGTTTTCTAATCCCGAGGAGCTGCTGCTCGATCTTAATGTGTGACAACACCTCTCGTCATTAATTAAAGCTGCATTTTTATTCAACATCTATAATTAATTACCACCAAATTAGCAAACTGCAGTTAAAGAGGGGGCTCTTTTTCCACTCTAAGAAGCTTAAGCTGCAATGAAGATTCCTCAACTTACAAGGGAAAAAAAATCATGCAGTAAATAACGTCTGCATTTACAACTGCATCTGCATTTTTTTCCCCCGCCTTATTTAGTTTATTGTCTTGCCTGACAAGTCGGGGAGATGGGCAGTGGACCCTCTGCTTCCGTCTTGACCTTGGATCTCTTGGTGGTCAGTGGGTTGACCGTGCTGCTCACTGCTGGGTCTCCACTGGCATTCTGAAAGACATATGAGAACGCATTATGGTACACACATTTAACTGTCGTGGATATGGATTTCTGAATACCTTTTTGAAGCAGATAAGGAGGTAGAATAATGTGCTTCTTAACCATGCTTGTTTTGTCATCCATGCATTCTTTGCCAAACCACTCATCTTTCCTTGAATCCTATCACACACCAGCCTACCCATACATCTGTCAATATGTCCATTAGTCCTCCCACTTGATTGCCTGTTAATTTAAACAGTCTTTCCAGTTTATAGACTGTAAACCACAAGATTCCACTCAGTCAGACACTACTCCTTTCCACGCAGTCATCACTCAGAGCGGCTGAGAGGGATTCATATTATTAAGTCACAAAGATAACATCCAATTGTTTTTGGCTTCGCAATCGGTTGCAAAGTGATGTGAGGCATCACGGCTGCGCCAGGCACCACGGCCCACAAGTCAGACTAGGACCTGCCGCCGAGACTAAACAGTTTAGACTGCTTTATGATCGCCAAAGCCACAAGGAAATATGAAAGAAGAGGAGTTATTACCCTCGGTGCAGAGCGGGGAGGAGGCAGGGTCAGGGGCTGGGAAGGGAAGGGGCTTTGATCTGCCAACAGATTCCGAACAAGACAGAAAGACAAAGACTCGGAAGGCCTGTTGAAGCTCTAATGGAGATGAAAAGAAAGGAAAGATATAAACGAGAGAGAGAATATGTGTGTGCATGGCTGTGTGTGTATTAAGGTTCATTGGAGGGCGTCCAACATTGAAGGGGGGTCTACTAATCCCACCCAGACACCACAGTGCAGTTGAGCTGTTCTGGGGGCCTCAATGATTCATTCAGTGGCTGGAAACCAAAAGGGAAATATGGTTCTGATCACTGTTGAAACAGAGCTGAATGTGTGTTTGTGTGTGTGCATGAATGGAGGATGTGTCTTTGTCTTTCATGTGTCTGTGTGCATGCAAAAGGTGCAGATATATACTTCTCTAATACACTCGGAGAGTGTTGGTATGTGTCCGCACACACACTGCGATGAAGCAGAGTTAGAGGCGGCAGACAGCAGCGTGAGCTGGAGTGATTCACTGAGTGGGAAGTTTACATTGTGAATAGCTGTGGTGTATATAATGGGCTGATGTAGAGAGACAGAGGATAGGAAGACAGATGGAAGTGGGAGAGAGTCTCCAGCATACTTCTGACCTGAGACACAATTTACAAAAATTACACTGACAACTGACAAAAGTACCATAACAATTGGTTGATTCCATAAAATTAGTTATGTGTGGACCAGAATGTGACTCACATGCTGGTTCCTGCTCATCAAACATGAGGATTTGTCTCATCGAGATGTTTTAAGGTATATTTGTAAAACTAGCTATTGACACATGTCTTAAAATTTCATCCTTTAAAATCTACTCGGAATGTTTGCTTATAGTTGGCCTAGTCAGATGTATCTGCGTGTACAGAGCAACAATAGCAAAATATCAACTTTCAACTCTACAGGGGAGCATGAACTTTTATCTTTGTCCAAAACAAATAATAATATCCAGGTCCACATTTAGCCAAGACAGATTACTGAGTCGCTGCCACATCTCATCCCTTTTCCAGTGGTTTAAATAGGTCTGGATCTGTTCCCAGTGACAGCTATGTCTGTATTTGAACAAACAACTGACACAATCAGAGCTCTGTAGGAATGAAGAACGGGGATCTCCCAGCATTTCATGTCAACACTCGCAGAATTCCCTGTTACACGTCACATGGCAGTTACCTGCCTCGGGATCAAGTCTTTGCATATTTTTATACGACTCTGCTCCCCATTTACGGACCTTATATCTGGTCGCATTGATCAGGAAACATCACATTGACCCTAAGTCCACCATAACCTCTATCTTGATGCCACCATTCCTACCTGGTTTGCCTCAGAGTGGGAGATGTTGTGCGAGGTGGACATCGGTGAAGCGGTGAGTGGGTGTTGGCGAGCAGAAAACGAGGATGGTGACGGTTGAATGAGAGGAGGCGTGTGGCCGAAGGCGTTCAGACCCCTCTGCTGGGACAACAGCTGCTGGTACGCCACTGGGTTGATGGGATGAGGGAAACTGAACGAGGGGCTGGGCACAAGGGAAGAGGAAACTGTTATCTTGTTTTTGCTGCATTAGCTCTTGATCCTAAGTGATGGAAGGTAAGATACACACATTCTCCAAACCTATAGTATGCTACCTCTATTGTTGTTATACAATTGGGTGAAAATCAGTCTGCTCAGCTGTTATTATTATAAAACTAGGAGTGATGGGATAAGGTTCTCACTTTAAAAAAGAGGTTTGATTTGAAGGGTACAAGTTGGTCAGTAGATCTGCTGGTACAGTGAGTGAAATACGATATTTAGGAATTTGGAACACAGATACTTTACTGGATAACATTAAAATACGAGACCTGCAGCTTGGTCCAATACAGATGAGTGTACTTGCATGTGTTTGAGCATTAGCTAAAAATGTATGCATGGGCTCTGTCTAAATACCTGATCCCTCCGACTGAAAGGTGCCCATAGGAGCTGCTGGCAGCTGAGCTGGAGCGGGAGTTGTTGATGTAGGCCACAAGGGAGTTGGGCGAGGTGCGGATCATGGTCTGCAGGTCAATACTGGCATCTGACAGAGGAGAGATGGACAGTGCCCTCTTCCTGCTCAGCCGGGGTGTCAGCCTCGGGCTGGAAAAACGTGACACTGGAGACAAAGACACAGCAGCGTCATTTCATTGGACGTTTTCACAAGAAATCGACTGCTTGTAAACAGATGTATACATATCATCTAATGTGCATGTTTTCTAGACGGGAGAACTACAGCAACCTGCAATTTCCCTGTACTTCCATTCATTTCACATGGCCCCAGCTTTTATACTGGACCTTGTTAGAACAAACATTTAGCCCCAAGCAGTCTAGTGGAGGTCATAGCCATGCTAAGCTACACTCTATCTCCTGCATCTCTCTCTCTCTCTCACTCTCACCCAAACACACACACAGCACCCCTGTTTAACATTCGCATCCTTTTATGCATAATGAATCGCCCCAATCATTCTCAGTAATTACTGTGATAGAAATCTCTTTCTGACCGCTGTACTTGGCTGAGTTAAAAGGAGGCAATTTAAACAAATTGATCTCAGAATACCATTAAAAAAGAACAAGGCTGACTAACAAAGGTAGAGTTCATGGCCTCTTACTAGACCTGGTTGTTGCACTGTTTTTATATTCTTGAAGAAAAGATCAGAAGAAAATTATGTGGGTAGTGCTACTTTCCCATGAACTTAGAGAGCAATTTGTTTTTCCATACATACTGAGAGTCCGTCATGTGTATTCACTTATTTGTTACATTTCTGATGCATGTAGCTCCCACAGAGACAGACAGAGACAGGTTAGTCGTTGGGGACAAACAGGTGCTGCTTTGCTGTGTGAGGGGACAGAGAGCAGGGCTGGTGTGTGTCAGTAGACACGTGTAATTAGGTCTTACAGCAGACATCATCAGAGGTGCGAGAAGCAGGAAACCCATAATAGGCCCATCACAGCACACCTAAGCACATGCACAGGGACCTAACACACACACACACACACATCTTCTCCACCAAGTCTAAGGTTGAGTTCACACATGCAAATGTGAACCAAAGTTTATGTCCTTGTTACATTGTTTACATTAGGTCTGGTTAGTTTTGGTGTCACATTGCAATTCAAGGGGCACACAAATAATTTAGTATGACGTGTACGTCCTGTAATCATCACCTACGTTGGCTGTCTACAAAAATTTTGTTTTATACTAATTTGAAAAATCAGAAGGTCTGGACCAAACAAAGTAGGTGTGGGAGCACTCTAGATGTTGGTAAAAGTCACAACACCTCAAGCCAAATGAATCTAGGCACCAACCATAATCACCACAACAGACCGACAGCAATAAACCTGGGTCTAACTGCCAAAACTGTTATGTTTGAAGGTGGCAAGTCGTAAAGCAGAGGCATATGCACTTAGTTAAAAGGCCCCTGGGAACTTCAGACAGCAGACAACAGTAGTTGGGGCCCGAAAGAAAAAAAAAAGGATTGGTAAAGATGATAGAAACGTGTATGAGAGTAAGAGTTGGTAAAAACAACAAATGGTCCTTGTAACACACCTCTTTAGGGCTAATAAATGAATGTGTCATCTTTCATTAGCCACATAGAAGGTTGGGAGCCGAGTAAAGGAGAGAGGAGAGGAGTAAAGCCAAAAATGTGGTGGGTGGAGTGCAGGCAATCCTGGGCCTGGGAACATGGGTCGTCATAAATGAAGGCTTCATTCTGAAGTTTGCATTGCTCCATACGGGTTGAGCAGCTGGTAGGATTAGCTATGTCTGCAGTGGGGCAAGCTTGCTGCCTTGCCAACAAATTTAATGGGAGATAAGTGTATTAATATCCCCCTTTATAAAGCAGGAAACAGGCCTCACAACCTGGTGGCCTGGCGCCTGCCTCACCCTTCTGGGCACATTGCCCAAAACACCACCCTCCATCTTCAAACCACCCACTCAATCTATACATCTACCTCAGCTCAGAAGAATTCTTAATGCCTCCAGCAAAGATTAGACGTCTATGACGTTTAGTCATGATGAGCTACAGACAAACTACTTCTGCTTTAGTTTAAGGCTTTTTCCAATGGTTGTACTTGGTCTGTCCGAATATGACCTGGAATAAATTTCACATACACAGAACTCTCACCACTTGGTGAGCGGAATGTTTTATAGGTGGCGGTTATAATTGAAAGGGTGAGCAGGTTCCGGCAGGGAGTGAGAAAACAGCTGTTGCACAGGCAGTGGTTGTAATATGGCAAGTGTGGGTATGTGTGTATATATCTGAGTGTGTGTCTATCGTAAGTGTGTGTGCCATTGCTCTGTGGACTCCGTGGGCTGGTTGTAATTGTGGGATCTGGATTTATATAGAGTCATAATTACAGGCGCCCCAGTGCACATTGATACAGTAAAAACTGAAAAAAAAAACAAAAAGAAAAAAGCCATAAAATGTACAGTATATATTATATGCACTGTGTGTGCTTAAAAGGATTGGTGTTAGGAGTCTGTGTGTATGTGAGTCTGTGTGATTATTTTAAGTATTTTCCTGTGCTGTTTTAACTGAAAAAGCTTTTGTGGAAAATGAAAACACTTTAATTGGAGGGTTGTACTAATCCCCAGATGGAGCTGGCTCTCTGAGCAAGGAGAGGGTCACTGTACAGCTCTGTAAAGAACTGGTATGTGGCCTTTTCTCTCACAATAGTGATTCTAAAATTGGGGCTGTGGGATAACACTGCACTGTGAGCAATGAAAAAGTTATCATCGCCTCTGCCTATGCCAACCTGTCAAGTTATAATTTACATCCACGTCTGCCCAGTGAGGTCACAGGGACCTTTGACCGGTGAGTTATAATCATTTCATTCTCAAGTCCTAGTGGATGCTTGTGTCAAACGAAATTACTTCCAGACGCTGCTCAGATGTCTCATTCATGAGAATGGGATGCAGAGACGAAAATCATGACTCTGCGACTGTCTGACTGAAAATTATATTTTTTTAGAGGTAAAGAGCTAAAATTAGAAACCTAAAAATTCAGATTGAGATTTATTCACATTTATGAGTCAAACTAGTTGCATGTTCCACTCGTCTGATAATTCAGTGGCCTCTTCTTGTGGAACTAACAGAGACAATAGTTAAGCCAACCACAGAACAATGAACAGTCTGCTGTACAATTAAACACAGAAACAACACCAGCAGCTCGGCTCAGCTCCAGTAATGCAGACCTTGTGAGTACAGAAGTCAGAGGAGGACTTCTTTAGTGTACATCTCTTAGTAAACATATACCAATGATGTGTTATCAGTGTCCATGTTGCAGTGAAACACGACAGCCAGTTATGATGCAATCTGTCACGCAGTCAGTGATGCACATGAGGGTTTTGTTTACTGACTTCAGATTCCAGGGCATTGGTAAAAGCCCTTCACTTCCCTTTCTGCCATTATGAAATAATGAGTGTTTGAAGAGATATGAAATTTAAGTATAAATAAATTAAAAAAAATTCAACAGAAGCAAATTCACAGGTTCAGTCTATCTTGGCAAAATGTTTTATCTGTTCATTGGGTTATGATGTTGCTTGCTTTTTTTTGTTATTTTTATTATATTTGGGGGGGGTCTTTCCATGAATGTTGGTTTTGCTGGTTTGTGTCACCAGGGGGACAATACAGTAGACCTCCTTACCAAGACAAAATACAACACTGTTGAAAAATCCAGGTCTTGGTAGTTCAAGTTAGCAATATTGCTAATGTCTATGTCAAAATTAGAGTGGTTTTTCCTGTTCATCCTGAGTCATTTCAAGATTCCTGTGTTCATCACACAGCAAAAGTCATAGGTCCTGAGCAGATAGCCTCAGTGGAAAATCTTTGGCATGTCAACCGTGACCTTGTCTGGGGTGAAGCGGGAGCTGCTGGGCAACCCTCACCACCACACAGCCTATGTTTGTGGCAGCAGGGCCCCATGCGGCCCTCAATGCCCCCCCCCACCCCCACCTCCGGGCCAGCACGAGAATATTTATTTTTCCATCGAAATCTCACTAATACTAACACTGTGAATTTTATTAGCCAGGGAGCTTGCACTGAATCGTCTTTGAGCCCGGAGAGTCCGGCCCAAAGCCGCCGTTGTGCTTGTCAGTGTGTTTATGCACATACTTCCACCCATGTGCTCGTGAACCAACATACAGTTAAGTGTTTGTGTATGCTGTCTGAGGGGACCAACCCCCCCCCCCCTCCTCACCACCACATGGGTACACAAACCCATCTCCCTCTCTCCTTCTGCTGCATCAACACTAAAATCTCTTTCTTTCTCGGGGATGGCACACATTTACTTTGGCTGCCGCTTTTGTCGTGGGGGCTTCAACATTTTCCCGCTGCCCACCCACCCCTTACATACCTGCTCACTCATATGCAAACAGGGTTCTGAATGCCTCCCAATGTGAAATGTCACTCTACACTCACAGCAGTGGTGGTGAACCATACTCAAGTGATTTCTAGGTGTGAAGTTGGTGTTTTGCTGTCTTCCATATGGATTCAGCTTACTGTTTAACATAAGCAAAATAATATATAACGATAAAATATCTGCGTGCATGTGATTCACTCCTGATAATAATATGGGGGAGTCGCAATGCATTCATGTAGCTTTTGATAGATAAAGAATACATAAAACCTACAAATATAGGAAATGTATATGTGTAAAATACTACGTAATTGAAATTTCAGCCATTAGCTGATTTATATATTCATTACAACAATTATCCCCTTTATTCCAGGGTTTGATGCTAGAAACTATCAATAAAAAGCCACTTTGAGACCACATCTAATAGAGTCGAGTTGTTGTCATCCAATCTAACTGTCTTTGGTCGGAGCTTTATACGCTGCGACGATAGAAGACAGATTCTAGGGTTGGATTTGATTATATCACCTTGCCAGTTGGATGATCCATCACACATGGGGCTCTAGGAGTATACACCACCACAACAGCTTGTCCTGTTCACTGTAGTGTGTGGAGGACGTGTCCTTGGATGAAAATGTATTTTGTATATCTGCTCCTCTTACACCAAAATTAGATGGTATACACAGTTTTTTTAAACATGGGTAAACCAGCTAAAAAAGTATGTGTAGATGTTTGACGTCATTAATGCACCAGAGCTCTGTCAACTCGCTGTCTTGTCAGCATTGCATCTTGCACAAGGTTGTTCCCAACATGTAAAAAACAATGAGTACACACAATTTCATGGCTATTTACCTGCTAATGCCTGAAAGTGCAATTTGTGTCATAACATCACACAGAAAAGGTTCAGTGGCAGCATCTGGAAATTGCGCCCGGGTTCAATCGGATGTCATGTTTATATCACTGCTGTCAAAGCCCTGTCCTCTACACACTGAATGTCAATTGATTCCATTCCCCAAAAAACAGATGTTAGTGGTTTTTTTTACCAGTGGAAAAGAACCTTCTGTATCCTTGTCACTTACAGGTGTTGCTGTGCATTTCAAAAAAGTCCTGTATGAGTGCTGATAACACCATTTTGTCCAGGCAGTCCGGTTCTATAAGGTTTATGGTTTTAACTGAGGAAGTCATCTAATCAGATCAGTCATCGTGATCTGTAGCTGTGGCACTTAAAACTACATCACAGGAGCATTGCAAAATCTTGTCTTCCTCATGTACTGGAGATAAATTCTCGTGTTTTAATGTCTGGCTTGAGGTGTGAGCAAATCCTAAAACTTCCCAAGTGGACCAGTAAGACCTGCAGCCATGTCAGGTAAACTTTACAGACGCTTGTGTCCACAACTTTTCCACCAGCACACTTCTCACAGCAGTGCTCAGTGTTACGCGGTTCAACCTTGCGTGGGTGAGAAGCCATACTATGGGTTCACTGAGGGCTCCCAGTTCTTGCGGTGGGTCTGCTGAATACTGATGCATACACTGATTTTTATTATGGGTTTTATCTGCACTGCCATCCAAAACTAACATTAAGGGATAAAGCGCATATTTGCCACCTCTGCTACTACCCCTCCTCTCACACTCTGGCAGTAAATAAGGTCTTTGATTCTGGCCAAGGCTGCCCGCAATGACCATTAGTTGGATGCCTTGGTAAATATGGGCCCTGTGTGTGGAGGCTGCAGTGGAAGAGCCTGCAGACTGGCAGAGTGGCCCAAAGCTGACCACATCACTGGTAGCACCGTAGAACACTAAATAAAAGCTGCTGGGACGGTGGCAGCAAGTGCGTACCCTGCGTTAGAGCAGGCGGTGGGACTGAGGGAGGTGGGGGTTGTGGGATTTTGTGAGCAAACAACTTCCCCAAACAAGTGTGGGCAAGGCAGCACAGCGGCGGTCACTGAGGTGGCTGGAGGTAGAAGGGGGGAGGAGGGGGAGGCAGCTGAATGAGGTGGTCTACAGTTTCTGCGTGGCCCCTAATCCTTCCTCATCCTTCAGTTTTCAGCACCTCTGTGTTTAACTAAGTGATTGAGCTATGTCAAAAGATTAATTGCACAGCGATCCCGTATCTGATTCTGTTTTTTTCTCTCTCAGTTCTGTTTTCCTACCTGCACACGAGGATGCTTGCATTGGTGTCGTGCAGCTGCTTTGGAGAGCGTGACTCTGTGGCGGTGAAAGCAGTGGGGACGTTTTTTCTCTGGGTGGGTGGTGGGATACGATGAAAGAAAGAGCGAGGGCTCCTGCAGCGATGCAGGCGTCAGTGCCAAGGGGAGTATTTGATTATCAGGCATCGAAATGGTGGACTTTCACGGACAGTTTTCCACTCTGTGCACTCACTACTCCCCATTCATAAGGGCTGAAGGTTTCTTGGATGCATTCAGCTGCTGAAATCAAATCCATTCCGGTGCCTGACCGTCATTTTGATAGAGGGCCGAGGTTCTAACTGGCAATCAAGAACAAGCTAGTCTGTGTGTGTCTGTGTGCAAACATATACACGTTCCCTGAGCATTTGCCTGCCTATTTGCTTGGGTGTTAAAGCTTTTGTGTGCCCCTGTGTGGGTGTGTGTGTGGGTCAATGTTGAACTGCTTCATCCCTGACATTAAGTGGACAGTTCATGCTGCCCAGGAGATTAATCCCTGCCTTAACAGCCTGACACAGGAACCGAGCAGAGACAAAGTTCCCAGGGTTACGCTCCTGTGCCTCATGCTGCCAAATTCTCTCCATGTTGCCCCTTTTATGGTTACTCGGAAATTTGTTTTGTAGGATGTTGCTCATAATAAGAGTGCAAACTCCACTGACATGAGGGAGTCTAAGGTAATGTGTTTTTACAAGCTCCTGCCTCAGGACTTTTAGTGTTTATGCACCCCAAACCCTCGACAAGCTGTGGCCCCCGCAGTACATTTAATTCCAAAATGCTCTACTAGCTTTGATGTGGGAAACTCTATCACGGAAAAGCCTCAAGAAGAAGAATAAGACGATGGTATCAACATGCCTGGTGCTGAGAACAAAGGGAAAGATACAGTAGCTGTTAAACTTGGCTGCTACTCTTCTGCCTGAGTAACACATGTGCTCCAGTGTTGCTGAGATGGAAGTCTGCTAATGCTTTTGACTTTAAAATGTATTACAGACATATTATATTGGTATTTCAAATTTTTATGGGTTTTAAAATATATGCGTTGGCTAATCTTAGGCTAACAAATGTCTTGAACCCCCCTCTCTTTTTTATTTGCAAAGAGCGATGCACAAATCATCCCTCAGGTAGAGCAGGCTTCTCACTTTTAACAGCTCCACTTAAAATGACAAACATGAGTATAAGAAAAACATATCAGCTCTAACTATTTAACATTAATCCCATTGACTTGCTCAAAGGCCAGACTACAACTCTCCATCCAAAGACAGTTTATTAGAAAATCATACTGATCGTTTCTTGTTTCAGGAGTTGGGATCTCCCAGTGAAACCCAAACAGAATTCAAGTTTACAGGAGTCAGATAAAATAAGAATGGATACAGGATTCAGATTTGATAGAGTCATCAAAATCCATCCCTAGAGTCTAATAAGCTCCTGGGCTACTGCATAGATATTGTAATTCTAATGAGCAGTTATGCTAGAAACTTCTCCTTACCATCCATGGGGCTGATGTAATCGGGCAGATGAGTAGCGGCAGCGGCTGCTGCTGCTGCAGCTGCGGCGGCTGCTGCAGCACCACTCTGCATCAGCAGGTCGCCGTACGGGCTTCGCTGACTGGCACTGGCCATCAGGTGGTAGTACTCGGTAGGGTTGGCCCCCGGTGGAGGAGGGGGGAGACTAAACAGAGCACGCTCCTTCAAGTGTTCGTGGGTCACTGGTGCAGAAAAGAGGAGACAAGGGAGAACAGGTTAACTTTTTCTTCTTGAAATAAACTCCAAACCAATCAGGTGATTCTATAAACACCCCACCCCCTTCCCTGAAGTGATGCAAAACACATTTTGACAGAGGCAGCGAAAGATATATTTTAATTTTATTTTCCTCTGCAGAAGTCATATATTCACAGACATCATTTGCTCCTTGACAGATTGATAACAACGAACAGAAGACCAGAACAGTTACAGTAAGACTTAACAGAGGAGAGGAGTGCCCTGCTTTTACAGATTTGAAGATTTGTGCTTGCGTGCATGCCCCAGGGCACGAGGCTTGTGATAAAAATGTCTGATGTCTTTGAGGCTCTCTGGGTTGTGGGAAAATATCTCTGGGGAGTAAAGGAAGCAGAGGGAGCGAAGGAGCAGGGCAGAGGCAGCTACGGAGGGAAGAAATACCACATTCCTGCACTTCTTTGGTGTGTATACATTTTTTGACAGGCTGAAATCTTTCGCAAAGTGCAGGTGCACACACGCACACGTATAATGCTGAGGAAGCCTTACATGCTGTGTGTGCAAAGGTAACATTGATGTAAAATGTGTTAACACCTGCTCCCAGTGAAGCCACATTTAAAAGTGTCAGAAACTATAAGAGTGAGAGATGGATTGGTTTCCCTCTTTCCTACTTCTTACTGCACCCTGTCCCCCTTTCCCCCCATTTCCTGCTCTCTCCCCCTCCTTCCCCCAGTGGGTATGGGTGAGTGGAGGGGACAGGGGTGTGGGCTGATGGTGGTTTAACATGCATGGGAGTGGGGGGTTGGTTGGGCCAAGATGGATACTGGGGAAGCAAAACCACAGTCTCTCCCACCCTCTGCCCACACAGACTCATACACATAAGCTCACATTTAAACCAAAACCCTGGATCTATCAGAACCTATTAGGCCATGGCTGTGGTAACGGTGCACAGGCAGCGGGTTTGTGCTGCAGCAGCAGCGACCCAGGCATGCACCATGGTTTCTCCATGGCTGCCAGGTCAAGTTACCGCCACCGCAGAGTAGCATTTTGTGTCAGTGTCTTTTGTTGTGCATGTGTGTGACCTCCCTGATGAACACAGAGGGATTAATGGAAGCAGCTCTCCTACTGCTCCCAGGAAAACCCAACAAAAAAGAAACAGTGCCTGATGCAACACTCACTCATGGCAATTAATACATATAGTGTTAAATAAATAGCTTGCAGTTCAGCAATGCTCATAACAGAGACAATGATAACTTTATGTTTACCTATAATACCATGCTTACAGTTACCACGGTTCTAATATATATATATATATATATATATATATATATGTTTTTGTAATTGGTTCATTAACCAAAGAAAATGACTAATTAAATATTTACCTGTTAATTCCAATTTAATCTAAGGAAAACATGAATGTCTCATGGTAATCCATCTAATAATTACAAATGCCAATCTCATGGTGGCACTAGAAGAAAATTGGACAGTTCAACAATTAATCTACTCATTAGTTGTTGAGATTATCTGAACCAAAGGGTTTGACCAACTAACAAGTAACTAGTACTATGCTTCAGATAAAATTGCATGCTGCTTTGATGTGAGATGTCAGACATGGACTGTGTACACAAGTGTTACCACCCTGTGCAACAACAACTTCTGATTCTAGTTGGAGCTCCAGAGATGCTATAAGAATGTTTCATTTTAGTTAATCCCTAATTTAATTGAATTAATTATGCTGTATGTCAACAGAGCAAAGATCCAGGTGAACAAACAACAAATAGATCACATACTGAGCACCCAGGTATCGCTATCAGAGGTTTACACATTTTCCACAGACTTTATTTATGTTCTGCAGAGCTGCAGAGTGCCCTCCATTTGGTGCCATGCTTCGCTGCCACTTTATCAGTGACAGCATCTCTTCCTCATTGCTTCTCTTGAAAAGCTGGGAGCCATGACTTGACAGCAACGGGCGCTCTGTGATTTATTGGTTCCTGGTGCAGGCCAGTGGCTCCACTCTTCCCCCAACCTGTTTGCACAGGAGCAGCGAGGACGGGCCTATCATCGTGTGAACTCAATAGTCCAGGGACTCCACGTGTTTGGTATGTGCTAATTTCCTTTGTTGTCTCCTGCTCAAACATACATACGAATGTACAGCGAAGTCTGCACATGCTAAATGAAAGTTGTGCCTTAGTACTTTGTGTGTGTGTGCTTGCACAGTGCTCTAGCCAAACAGACAGACTTGAACAGCAAACCCAAAACCTGCTCAGCTCTGATCTCCACTGCTTAATGTTAACTGACCAAAGCAGCTGCAAAATGTAAAATACTGTGAAGATTTTCCACCGTTTATTCCTGCATACATCATAAAAGTTTTTCCATCTTGAAAATGCATGAAAGTGTTGGAAAGTTATGTGAATGTGTGTGCCTGCACATTTTTAGTAATTCACATGTCAAGCCCCTTCTGCATATATAAATAAGTGAAGGTAGCATGTGAGAAGTACGTGTGTATCTTCTCATAGTCTGTTCCACAGTTCACCACAGGCAAGTCCAGTAAATGTTAGTTTATGTATGTACTGGTGTGAGTATTTGTACAATCTTCAGGAAAAAATGTGTTATTAACATAACCAAAATGTTCTTAATTATATATTCAATATTTCAGCCAAGTCCATGTGTTATTACCAGAGGGGGAATATACTGAACACTATGTGTATTAAACAAGGATCAAAGACCTGCTACAACCTTTATAGTTTGGATTAATGGAAATAGTAACGTATTACAGCTGTGGAGCAGCTAATAGCTTAAGAGGCAGGAACTCAAGGACACTGTCTGGTGGAGTCAAAAATTGGGAGAATTAATACAGCCTATTGGGATGTGAAAATGCATTTCTATTTTGGGGGGAAATAAGGAATTTGCAGCTGCAGTTTAACTCTATAAAGTGTTTGTGACAGGCAGAGTAATTTTAATGTATAATAAATGTACGGCTCAAACACTAACATTTAAAGAAACATTTCCCAAGCCCTGCGCAAAAAGCTGCCACCAAACTCCATGTGATTTCAAGTGACACTTGGACACAGATTTGTTATATTACCACTTTACACTGTATTTTTATGTGCATCAAGGCAAACAACATCAGGACTGTTTCTGTCTCTCAGTTAAAATGGACTGCAGTGATGGGTCCATTAGTCAATGACTGATGGATTCGAGTTTCTCTTTGCTGTTGTATAAGTAACATCAAATTTGTAGGTATCAAGCCATTGGTAACATCTGAGACATTCTACAACGTCAGTGTGTGATATAACTCTCACCTTCAGCAGGGCTCAGTCCTCGGGCAGCTGAGATCATGGACAGGGTGGGGCTACCGTGTACTGAGCGCAGGTAGTGCTCCATGTGGGGGCTGATGTACGGATGTGGTGGGCTGAACGGCGATTCACCTGTCCCGGCTGCTGCGTGGGGTGATAGACGGATCAGGGAGATGTCTGAGATGACTGGACTGCCCGTCAGTCCTGGAGGTCTGTGGAGAGAGGAGTCAAAATCAGACATATTTGGGTGGATGATACAAGGAAGTGGGTAGAGGGCTGAAAACACAAGATGGAGGAAAAACTTAAAAAATCTGGGTGGTGTTTGGGGTTTGGAGACAGCCTGTCTTGATTTGATTACATGTATTACTTGTATAGTTATTATTGTGAGTGATCTTCATTGATCTGTTGGTAGACAAGCCTTCACTTCTGTTATTTCACAAGTGTGCAATCTCAATTCACTTACACCCTTTCCCTTCCCCAGTCCCACGTCTAATACATAATTATCCTCCTTTTGTTCACCTTGTTCTAATAACCCCTAGAGCTACACAAGTCCAGACGACGGCTATAAGAAAGCATACTCTCTATCTGTTTGAGCAGATAAAACTACAGGGTCTCTCACATCAGGTATTACATTATGTATAATAAGAAGGTGCAACTTGATGCTCAAAACTTTAAGTGCCTGTGGCCCTGTAAGTGAAACAAAAAAGAGTCTCGTCCCCTGGTCACTCCAGGCTATACAATAAATTTGTCATCTCTGGGAGGTAATTACCGGCTCTGCTTGCAAAAACACAGACAGGTGAGTGTTGTATTTCTCAAAAGGCCAGAGGGCCTGAAGTCTTGATAAAAACGACTGCTGGTCACTGGCAGTGGCACAGCTCTTTGAAGGGGCACTAGTATTGACCTGGTGTGCTTTAGATGTGATAAGCGGCCTGTTGTTCCTGTAGTGTCTGGTAACAACACTCGAAATTCAGCCGTCAGAAGGGCAACGAAGAAGGAGAAATTATGAAAAGGCTGAATGACAGAGTGTGGTTACACTGCTGTTTTAACGGTAGCTCATAAATTGTCAACTAAGACTTTTGCGGGGTTTCAAATTTACGTGGACTTTTAGTTGAAACTGTGCTCTGCTTGAACCTAGCTGTCAAGTTAACTTGACCCCACAGAAAATAGCATCAAACCCACAACAGTGAAGAAAAGTAAAGAATGATCCTGAAACTTCATTATGAGATACATTTATGATGTTGGTGGAAATACTACTAAGCAGCCTACAGCTGATTAACATGGAGCATATAAGTTATTTTCTCAAACTATGGTATGTTTATTCTAAAACACTCTTTATCTTACTAATTGAAATCCTTTTCAAGTCCTGATAGCCATTAATAAATAAAGTCAGTTATTTATTTTTGACAGATTGAATTGATTGGCAAATGTACCTGTATGACACTAACCAACCTGCCTGCCAAAAACGCACCGTGCTCAAGCTCTAACTGTGCATGACCAGGGTGTTCACAAGCCAGAGAGACAGACACTGCTGAAGCGGAGGACGATACTTAGAAGTTAGTGAGCAGGGTGCACAAAGGTTGTCTCCTCACAGTTGTCAGGCTATGTGCATTCATGTGTTTTTTCGGGGTGTGGCTTTGATGAGAGGGCCGATGGGGGGATTACCAGGACTAACTTTAATGATGCTGGATTACTTGGATATGGCGGCAAGTCATCAAAGCAGACTTAAGTTTACTTTGACATACAACACGTCTTTTATTCTCTGTGATCATATGTAAGTATTGTAGACATTAATTGTCAGTCATTCTTTCAAAAGACAGAACGGAGGAGGCAGGGTTGGGGGAATAAACCTTGATAATGACCAGACTAATGAGTCACTCTACTCCCGCCTGTGGTGGAGGACTGACTCACACAATGAGCAAGGATAACAAATTGTCAAAATGTTGGTTTGAAATGATGTAAAATATAAAATGGTGGTGGGCCGTTTTGATCCTCCCTTAACATTTATTTATACTTCCTTTACATTTTAAAAATGAGAAAGAGACTTCATGCTAGCCCTGTTGAAATATTGCACACTAGTTACTTTGAGTTAGTAACCTTATCTATTAAGTTTGCTTCACTTCAATCTATTTCAAAATGGGGAGAAAGTCCTTTGTAGAAAAAATTACCACAGTGACACTCGCACACAATGCAATGTAATTAAAATATGAGAATAGCCATCTTTACGAGTCCCTGAGAGTAAGCGCTGTTTAAGCTGCCGCTGTGAACAAATGAGTGTTTATATGTGTGGTTTTGATTCTTGGCAGCATCAACTGCATGCTGGGTACTCAGCATGTGTGTGTGTGTGTGTGTGTGTGTGTGTGTGTGTGTGTGTGTGAAAGAAAAGGGTGTAAGAAATGGAATCCACATTACACATAGATTGTCATCATTCAGGAGAAGCTTAATCTCAGGGTAGGCAATCTATTTGAGAGGAATTTTTTGAAATCCACTTTTCATTCTGACAGCAACGAATAACTGAAATACTCTGACAACAAAAAGAAAAAATAACTCATCTGTGGAGGCTGTGGGGCTGTAAAAGCTCATTCAATTATTGTATTCCTCCTGGATGAAATCGTTTGCCTCCCAGCTTTTTGTCTACTTGGCCATTCTTCTACAGGCAGCATTCCAGTAGGTTATCTTTGGCAGAATACAGTAAACCAGTTGCATTATTCCAGAAAAAATATCTTTCAGTTATGAACAAAATAATTATTTGTTTTTGTTTTCGGGTTAATTTAGTTAGCCATGGTGTTAGCCTCCAGTGGTCTTTTGGATGCGTGGCTTTAGAGGGAAGCCTGAAGGAAAGGGCTTGGATTTATTTAGGTACATAACCTTTACTATACTCATCATCATCCAATGGTGATACTGTTTTAGGGATGAAATCATTTGACTCTGAAGATATGAGTGTGACTGGTCCAGGTTGTCCGTGCTTGGCAGGTCCTCTGCATCCTATCCTCCCTTCAGTTTCCTCTCTCAGACTCTCTTTCGCTGTCTGTGAGCGGACGCCAACCTGCAACCGGCTCAGTCCTGCCCAGCTCAGCCTGAGCCAACCAACCCAGAGCACCGTCCCTCGCTCCATTTCCAGTAAGTGCCTGCAGACTGCTGGCCTTGTCTGTGGGCCAATTTTCTGCCGTAAGGCCCACTCTTCCCCTACAAACAACCATAAAGAGCCCTCTGTTCTGGGCAGGAGGGGAGAAGTGAGAAGAAACAGACGCTCCATACAAAAAAACACGCTTCCCTTGGTCCCCCTCTAAGCAGCATACAGAGAGCTTGGCAGTGCCTCCTTAGATTAGTGCTTGGGTGCTTCATTGAAGGACTACCTGGGTAAACTGGCACTGGTGCTGGCTCTCTTCCTTATCACACTGGGTGAATCAAAGCTGCACACTGGGATTCCCAGCATTTAGCTAAATCCTAAAATTTGGATGCCATATAATCTAATAAATTTCATATTTAGTTAGAATATTATAAGAAACACCTGCCTGGAATCTTTTTGGCATGTTTCATCATTACCTTCATCTAGGATGAACTCACAATTAATAATGGGTACCAGATTTTATTTACAATTAATACAATAATGTGCAGTTCAAATATTTTGTATAGCCATAAAAATTTTGTTTTTTAAAGGATGAGGCAATGAGCGACCCAGATGGGTCAGTCCATCTACTTTCCAGTTTCCTCACCCTGTCTGTTGCTTATCGTTGCGAAATGAACCGTAAATCAAACAGTCACTAACATAGTTTAAATTGTAAAAGCAAAATAAATCAGCTCACATTTTTTTTCTGCAAACATCACTCAAACAGAGGAAATGCATTTATTGAGGACTATTTTAAGCAGAGGATTGAGACACATTGGGATTATGTGTAAAAGGCAGTGCATCGATGAGGTTCATTGCATTCTTTGGGACAACATAGGATCACAGGATACAGCTTTTGCTACATCGGTCATACATACATGACTGATGTTTTGTGATGAGAAAATCTAAGCAGCACTTTATTGCATTACACGCTCAGTGTGTTTCACAGTTACTAACTTAATCGAAAATACGATCCAAAAATTGCTTTGAAAACGAAATGAATGGATGTTCAGTATCAGCAACACGCCCCTGCTCCTTGCTCCACCTACCCAAACAATCTTGCATATTTTACTTTAAACCTAAATCCATCAACAATAGTTATTTGTTTTTGGGCCGGTAGCAAACCAACATGTCGACACACACTGCTCAAACTGCAGTATATCACTCAAACGACCACAAGTGTAGATGAGGCCTTGATCGTAAGCTGAAATTTACTGCTGTTGCCTGTCGGGAGAGACGGCAAATAATAGTCCTGTCTGACTGTTAGCATTATTGAGGCCTTGTTGATCCTCCCTCTTTCTGACAAGATGTTACTTGAAGTCTGTATGTTCTGTCATATAGGTTGAACAGGAATCTCTTCACGGCCTTCAGAGCCCCGGGAGAATCCTGTCTCTTAATCTGAAACTGCCATTTCAAGAAATCATACCTGAGCACTATGGGTGGCTACCCTGTTGGAAACATAAGAAATGGGGGGAAAAGTTTCGGGATGATGAGAAGTGGAGGCAGTAAGAAGGCTAAGCAGCCAACGTGAGTCAGTGGATGACATGCTTTCAACAAGGTAATTGCTATTTGCCTCTGTGTTCTGTACTGTGTGATTACATGCTCCCTGTTGTTCCATTGTTAAAACTCTTCTGTGAGAAAAAGTGATCTGGACATGGTGCAGCTTGTTGAGAATATGAGTAAGCCTATGAGTAAGTGCATACCACAGTGCACGTACATTGGACTGCTCACAGGGGCAGATTACACCTTTGATAATTAGTGAGTTGAAGAAAAATGTAATGTTGAACATTTTCCAAGTTTACAACACCATTATCACAACCATGATAAAAACAGTTTTTGGAGGAAGTTACCCTTGCAAAGTATCCAAGCCTTTCTGTGATGTCGGGTAGCTTTGTAATTTTTTGCTTTTCAAACACAAATTTGCAAACCTAAGCATCTTATCATCATAAACTGACGTAAAGAGATTGTTGGGGTGATTTAATTTGGGGGTTCAACAAAATCTTTCGTAACATCAGAATTTGCAGGCTACGCCCTAAATTGTAAGCCATTTTCCAATACCAGCATTCCGACAAGCATGCACATTTCAATGACCAGCCAGATGTGCAGGGTTAAAAGGTGAAAAGAGACGTTAACTCTACGTATTGTTATCTCCATTTGAACGATTACAACATCTTGGCCCACATGACAGCAGGCTTTTAAACTCACTACACTCATAAACAGCTATAAATACTTCTGCCGTTAGACATCTGTGTGGAGTGAACTAGTTTGTTTCAAATACACCCCTCTGCCTTAAAAGATAAAATATTTTTGTCTCAATACAAATCACTGGATCTTTCTGCAAATGATGACTTCTGAAAAGTCAGTGCTACATGATTCTGCCCAAGTAACCTGTTTTCAAGGTAGGGCGAAAAAGCCACACTCCTACTTCCAGTTCCATTTATGTCTCCCTGCCTCCCTGCCCTCCTAGCTGACCAAGAAGTTAGTATTTGCCTCGCTGGCATTTTCCCTATTGGCTCAGGGTGGGATGAATTATGATGTGACACACTCCCTTCTGTACTTCTGGGCAGCCAAGGCGATCAAGATAAATCACCACACTGCCCCACAGGGGACATGCTAAGATCCTGCTGTAGTTGTTTTTGGGGCCCTGATCAGGATGCTGAGGATTTAGACACAACTTGATACTGTAGTCTCTGTGAAGCAAGAACTGTGTACAAGGGAGGGGCTCAGTAGAACTATGTCAGACGATGGGATAATATACTTAAATGAGATGGGATTATACACAGTGTAATTATCCATTATTCAGCTCCACTGCTGTCACATACCATTTAGTCTTTTTTTGAGTGCAAGGAAATTATGTTGAGGCCGTGCAATAAAGCGTGAACATTTCAGGCTATTGACTTGAAACATCACAGTCTTGTTGATTAATAGGTCCCTTGTCTTTTCAGCAGCACATTCCTGGCCGTTCTTCGGTGGAGCGTCTAAAATTCAAACATTAGCCGTGACGATGAGCTGGGGCCAGAGCCAACGAACAACAAAGTACGATAACAACATGTCTGTCAAAACCACTGGCAGCCAGTCTGCAAATTTCGCCCCATCCCCTCACCACCCCAACCTCCCACCCTCCTCCTGTCTCCCCACCCATGTTAACCAAACCAAAACAATGAAAGGAAAAAAACAACATCAACCCAAATGGCTGATCTGTAAACTGTATTTAATCAACACATTCCGTGCTGTGGGGCTGCGGCCTTTGAACAGGCCCGACTGCCTGGCGAGTGGGACCACATCTGTTTGTGTACTGGGGCGGTGTAGGCCACAGCTCTGCCACACAAAAACCTTGGGCATATTTCAACTTTTCAGTGCTGCAATTTGCCCCCCAACTGCTTACCAAAAAGCATAAATACAGGCTGTGGAATGAGCGGGGGATCTGTTATTCTCATCCGTTGCGTTTGTCGTTGAGGTTCTGGGAACGGAAGGCTAGATTTTGGATACTAATTACCCGGTCAAACACGTTGGCACGGTGGCTGGCTTTCCTGGCTTGTGGCTTCGCACAGAGGATGCCCGACTCCACAATATGCAGCAGTGTATAAGTGCTGTCTGTGTGTCTAAGTTCTCCTGTCATCTCATGAGAGGCTCTTCCTAATGCATTCCAGAGACTGTTCGGATATGGCATGTTTTTTTCTCTGGTATGCTAAGTTCGTGAAAAGCAGGGAGACCACAGCCGGAAAACTGCTACTTTTAAATCCTGGATCAAGCATTAGGAAATGTGCTGAAAGATGCATTTGCGAAAAATGCTTGATCTTCCGACACTGCTACCTTTGGTTACACTGGAAAATACTCTCTGACAAAACTGTGTGTGTCACAGCTTTTAAATAGAGGAAGATTTAAGGGTCTCAGGATGTACTTGTTGGATTATCTTAAAAGTGACTGAATATAACCCCAGGAAAAACAACAACTAAAGCTTTTGGTTTCAAACATGATGAAACAACTTGTCAAGTTTCAAGCACACTGGATCCTTAACTGTTCCAATATTATCTGACAGCTTATGAAACCCTTCTTTTCTCGACAACTGGGCATGTGGCAAAAGAGGCAAGAGGCAAGCCAGGATTAGCACTTTTCTCTCAGGCTACATATTAGCTTTTAAGTGTATCACTTTCCCAACATACTCACCTGGTAGCCACTTGTGGGCTCATAGGAAACTCTAAGGTTGTGGGGTAAGACACACACATTTGCTTCCTGATTCGATCTTATCAGTTACGACACAAGTACTTACTTAGTACTGTAACAGTCCCACTTTATCATCTGTCCAAGAAAAGAATAAAATGCTTACATTTTCCTTTTTAAATTTTTAAAAGTAAGGCTGGGTGATCAATATCATGATTATTTCAAACCTTTACCTTGATTACAATTAATGAATGATTATTTTATCGATACATTTTTGGTTAATAGCCCAGTCCTAAAATGTTTTACTCTTCAGATATTGTCTAATTCCACAAACTAGCAGCAACCAACCTTTAGTTTTCTGTTTAATTAAAAGGTCTCTAGTGGTGAGAAAATGAGAAGATTGTATGAAAATGACCCGAGTACCCAAGGTTGTTCTTAGACTCAAAACTACTTTATGATGAATATAAACTGAGACACACAATCTATTAGTTTGTTTCCTTACACTGTAAACCAGGGAGCGCAGTGGGAAATAAAGCAGCTATGACAGAGTGACCGCCAGCCCTATTTATATTTCACTAACACTGATGATGGAGCGCTCACCATTATACTGTGTGTTAACATATGGAGTTAACACAGTCTTACTAACAAAAAGTGGAACCCTGACGTGCAGTGACCAGCTATGGACTAAGAGCTGCCACCAAGCCCCCTGCGCTGACACCCTGCTCCATTCCACTGCAACAACGCACAGTAATTAGTTGAATTTGGTGCGGGTTGTGGAAAAGACAGCAAGATCAAGGCCTTGATGAATTAGTGGGAGCACTCTGTCAGAGTCACATCACATTTATCAAAACAAACTGGGTGCACAGCCCACCGCTGCAGCCCACTCCACCCCGCACCCCTTTCCGTGCTCTGCGGGTGATGAATAGCTCTGCCTACACTGTGTATCACCTGATCTTGCTGAATTTATATGTAACAGCGCAGTTCTCACGAAACCTCTATTGATCTTACTCCTGCAGGGTTCCCTTCCTGGATTTGAATATTTCAGATAAGCACAGGAAGGCCTGTAATGTTAAGAAGGCCAGACTTTTATGGTAATGCCACAGAAAACAAATTAGTGTGTCTTTTTAGGTCACATTGTAATAGAAGCTGCAAGACCAAGCACTACCAACCTATTTATGCAAACAAGTATGTTATGACTTTTAACGTCGTTTTTTTACAAATGAAAAATGTATAAATCTGACTTTTTATACTTCAATAGCCAGGAATAATGTTTGTTTTGTTTTTTTTACAATAAAATTGCCAACAGTGTCTGTATCTTCTAACATCTTTCACTACATTTCCTCTCAGCAGAGCTGTTGGCAGAGTTCCTCAGTTTTGGGTGATGGCGGCAGCAGAGAGCTCTCCAAGTCCCGAAGCATTAAATGTAAGGAGAGGATCTGGAGGAGGAAATGTTAACGGTCTGTGGTACTGGTGCTAACGTGGCTTGTCTCTCTTCATCTCCGTCTCCTTCTCGCTCTGTGTATCTTATCTGGCTTTGAAGTATTTGAACTAGGTTTTCTTGCTGAGACTGGAATACTCAAACTGACAGTGAAACACAAAGAAGTCCCCAGAGAGAAAAAGCTATACAAACAACTAGTAAAAATAAAAACGTAAATGGTGTTGCTTAGTTTCAAAGGTGCAGTGTGTAAGATTTAGGTGAAAGGGATCTATTGGCAGAAACTGAATATAAAAAAATTCTAGTGATGTTTTCACTAGTGTGTTTCATCTAAATTGTACGAATTGTTGTTTTTCGATTTAAACACTTTATATTTACATCAGGGGCGGGTCCTCTGTATGGAGGGTTAGGGGGTTAGGGTTAGTAAAAAACAGTAGCCCAGACTGGACAAACTAAACATCTTTTGAGGTTTTATGACAACTGAAGGCTATCACAGTGGGAGGGGAGGGGGAGGTGAGGGGGAGGTGAGGGGTATTCAGCTGCAACATGCAACTTCTACACTAGATGTCTTTGTAATGGAGCTACATGATGCTGTGCTACATCGTATTCAGTGAAAATGTTCTATTTGTATGTGTTTGCTATCTTTAGAACTTGAAGAATTGTGGATCACTAGTAGAATATAAAACAAAGTTCTGTGGATCCGAATATTGAAATGGTACTTACCCATGCATAGCATGAAGTGGGTGTGGCTCATAATGGTACCGCCCCTCGTGGTGTCTCATGTCGATTGGGATTGGTGCATGAAACGAGGGAAAGAGGTGGTGGGCACCTGTGAGCGAGAAGAAGAGAGAAATTAAATACAGAGAAACAAACAAAAGCAGTGAATGTTTGTGGCGGCACATTTCTTAAAGCTGAGGGGAGGATGGAGATAATGCAGAACCACACGGGAAAAAGTCAGAAATACAGGTTGCGCATAAAACGCAGTATGAGATGCAACTGTACCGTTTTACAGTTCCTCTAATGCATCAGTAATTTAAACCTTCCAGACTGTCTGTGGCTTTTGCCCCGAGAATGTTCATTAATAGCCGTCTCTATCCAATGAGACCAAAGCAGGTTTTACACAACAATGAATGTGTTTTTATGTGTCAGACAAAGAATGCACAACTCCACCATTTCCTGTCATAAATGGTCTGGAGGCTTGAGGGAAGTCTCATTAGAACAACACAGCCGATCTCCATTAATTGCTGTCATTACAACAACTGAGCAGGAGTGTGTGTGTGTGTGGGGGGGGGGGCGGGGGTGTAATCATAGACAAAAGGCCTCTGAAGTTTCACATGTTTCATGCAGGAAACCAAAATCAGCAACCCTGAATGACTCTGAGTGTGTGTGTGTGTGTGAGAGAGAGTCTGTATTGTGGAGGGACATCAACGGAGCATATAGAGCAATTCAGCTCTACTGCGTTGATCGCTGGTCGCTATTAGGCTGTACATTGTCCGGGAGACCTGGGATGACCCGGGAGCCGCCTCTGAGTAGAGACCACTGAGGTTAAAGTTCAAAGTGAGAGCAGATCATTATCTCTATCCGAGACAGACGGTGACTGAGACCAGGTGAAGATGTGGTTATTTTTTCACATCAGTGTAATGCTAGTGTGGCATGAGAACATGTCGAGGTTGGTTAAAGGCTCAGTGTGTAAAAGTTTGTGACATCTTGTGGTGAAGTTGCATGTTGCAGCTGAATACCCCTCACCTCCCCCTCCAAACATGTAAGAGAACCTGTGGCAGCCTTCGGTTGTCATAAAAAATGTGTTTAGTTTGTCCAGTGCAAGCACATTCCGTAGAACATTCACGTCAAGCAACTGGCAGTAACTCTTCACACTCACTGCTGTGGGTTCATGTTAAATGGTAAATGCTTTGTATTTATATAGCTCTTTTCCTGTTGTATCAACCACTCAAAGCACTTTACAGTACAAGCCACATTCACCCATTCAACTTTTTTCTATCCCACACAATTCAAACACTTCCTGTATGGCCATCAGGTGAAATTTGGGGTTCAGTATCTTGCCCAAAGGTCACTTCGGAATTCAAGCTGGAGAAGCTGGGGATTGAACTACCGACGCTCTAGTTGGTGGTTGACCTGCTCTAACTCCTGAGCCAGTAATATAATATATAATAAATGACATAAGAACAGTACAACAAGATGTAGGTGGTGAGTAGACACGATAAATACTCTCTGAAATACAATATCACACAGCCTATATATAAAAACTAGGCTAAATATTCTTTCAATCTGCTTGCTAACATTTTTGTAAAGCGTTCAGTTGACATTTGCACTCACAGACCTTCCTGTTTGAGATGTGCCTCAGGGCGCCTCACTTGCTCAAACCAGCGCAGAGAAAACAAGGTGTAACAGGACTCTGTGCCTGTAGGCTATGACCGAACGCTGCATGTTGTTTCGGGTGATGCCAGTTACAAAGACATACATTACTGCTACTTAACCCTGATTGAGGCTTTTGTTATTGTGATTGAGGCAATCATCATAAGGCCGTAACATTTGTTCTTTGTTAATTCTGATGGGATTACACATGACTGGGAGAGGAGAGTTCCCCTGAAGGCAGCTCTGAACTGTGAACCATTTGACTGGTGTGGAGTTTGTTTGAGATGAAGCATTAAGCCACTGGTTTCTTTCCCTTTAATAAATCAGTCTGGATGCCCCTGGCATGACTGATGCAGGGCCATCATGGCATTTGCTGAAATACCACAGATACAGTAAGAATGTTCAGAGTAAGAATTTTGTACAATTGGTTCATTCTAGTTATTATTAAGTAAAACCTTGCTGAAACGCTTCTGCTAATAACTATAACTAAATAACTAGCACCAGTATATAGAGCTAAAGGAGGGGTTAGAATTGAGATGGGACAACAAAAGAACTGGAGCCACAAAAACTTGCTGTACCGTGGATAAAAAGTATAATGTTAGCTATAACTACTACACATTCCAGTGCATCAATACCTGTTTTAACAATATAACACAGTTTGAACACAAATTACATGAATTGTATTATTTACAACAGAAAATGTGTTTGGAAAACAAAAGACACAAGAGTTTAAGATCTTTAGGGTTTGTTCATTCAAGTTTACTTCGTTCAATAACTAAGTGCAGTCCAGCTAGCTTCAGGAAAACAGAGTTAGGTGCCTTTAGGTCAAAAATCAAGTTGTATGAGGTGGGGCTTTAACAATCCTGCAACACAGGTGTACTCAAGTCATGGGAATGAAAGAGTGGGTGGTCTCCATCTCAGGCAAAAGATATGATGATCTTAATCCAATTCCTCAGGGTAAGGAAGTGATCGGGTTCTGTGGTGGCTCTCCTTTGCCACCAGAATCCAAAATCTAATCCCAGAGAAAGTCAAAAGAACCCAGCCTGTATAAAAACAAGTAATCAAATCAATTCATTGTTATTTTTTCTAACCGTACAAAATCTCTCCTACGGAATATTTATCCCTCTATCTTATTTTTCTTTTCACAAATATTGAATTGATGAGCGCACGCACGCACGCACGCACGCACACACGCACACACACACACACACACACACACACACACACAAAAGAAAACTCTCTCTGTTAAATCAAAGTGAGTTGTAAAAATCCTTCTGGTGCCCCACACTCCTTATCTCCTCTTGTCTTTGAGCTCAGAAGGCCAAGGGCTTTGTGTTTCTATCAAGATCTATGCTTCTGGATCCCAGCCAGTGACCCTCCATCGCTTTTGTCTGCGAGACAGGCAGCCAATTCCGAGTCAACTTGTGTGTTACAAAGCCAAGAGAGGCACCCAGTGAATGAGTGCGAGAGAGTGAGAGCTGGGAAAAGCAGTTTGAGCTTTGTTTCACAAGTGGAGCCAGAAGTTTGGGCTTTTTCTAAGAGGTGCCCTCTGCTTGTGCTGCCTGGCACATCTCCAGTGGAGAGCATGGGACAACGTGGCCAGACTGTGACAAAGACAGGTTGTGCTGAACGTCAGGCCCAGCACAGCATAATGTCTTTTAGTTGTATTGGAGAGTTGTTGATTAATCTGCCAAACAACATTCTATTCTTTTTTTTATTTTTTTTATTTTGTGGTTTGAGTGCTCATTGCTTTGCATTGCACTTCTGATGTGTTGTATGTATTTAATTTCCTTCCGATAGTTTTAATTTCCACAAGTTGTGCACTTACATTTTCCACAGTGGCTTTTCCCTCTATCAATTTATATCTCCTCCTGAGAGATACCAATGAGACACAAATGTTTGTTTCTAAATTTCCATTCCATAATAAAGTTCAATAAAAGACTATAAAGTAAAAGACAACATAGTGCCATGTAGGAGTCCCCTGGAGCTTGATTCCCCGGCTGGGGCTGCTGGATGTGGGGATGATAAGGGCAGGACAGGCCCTTCCATCACCCAGACAGCTGCATTGTTTAATCGGCTGCAGGGACAAATACCGACAGGTACGTGGCTGGAACGTTTCACACGCTTCCATTTCTTGATTTACAGTCTGCATGTCCCCTTTGGGTCCGTTGGTATGCATGGGTTACTCCACCCTGGGCCTCATATATAGAAAACAGCACGGAGGACTCAAGCTGACAAAAGAAAAACTTTTATTACGAGACAATGTGACACTGCAGGCGGAGGATAGAGTGGTCACCATGATAACTTTCCAAGAGTTGTAAAATCCTGTCTTGGCATTGATCTGGGGCTGGTAATTGTTCAGATGTATGTATACAGTATATTTAGCCTACAGTGTATACAGCATGTTAAAGCTGGATGACCAAACGCAGATTTTGTTATTATCTGATAATAATCATTCTGGTGATGATGTCAACTGATTCTTTCTCTTTTTAAACAAAGGATCTAATTTTGAAAAAAAAAACATGACAAGGGCTCAAAATTAATTTAAGTGCATCGTGCCCACTACACTGAGGGGCTTTTGTGTTAAGGTAATCTCATATTATGAATCAATCCAGCCCACAGGAACCAGTCACTTGTTTTCAGGCCCCATATCTGCTCCGATGTCTCATAACGTGTTTGTTTAAAGACTGAACATATCTTTGCCCCCTAGCCCTCATGATGAGGCTCCAGACGTGCCAAACATCCTGCCAAGAACAGCAGCTATACAGCCCCATATCTTCTGCTCCTTCATTGTTTGCATCTTAAACCCTGGTTTGATCTCTCACTAAAGACAATGCCAGGTGTTCGATGTTAACAAAGGACCCTTCGAGTCTCGTGACTCGGGGAAAGAAGAAGGAAAAGCACTCTCTCATTACGTCCAAATGAAGCCCCAGGTCAGGACCACGCTGAAGTGGAGAGTGAAGTGGGCTCATGTCTTTGAGGAAGTACTCAACGATAATAATAATGCCCTGAGAGGCCCGACCGGCAATAATTTTCAGGAAAAAAGCCTTTGTCGTGCTTTGAGAGAAAAGGGCAGAGAGAGAGAGAGAGAGAGGGAGAGAGAGAGTGAGAGAGAGAGTGGGAGAGGGAGGAAAGCACAGAAAGAAAGAGAGGAGTGAAGAGCAGAAGAGCAGGAGAGGTGGGGGTGTTCAATTCAGACAGGAAATTCCAGCAGAAAAAGCTGGCGTGGGTCCTAACTACACAGCACCGTGCCAACGGCTACACACAAATGCTCATGAGCATGCATACACTCTCACACGTTTACTATGTTTACACACACACACACACACACACACACAGACACACACACACACACACACAAACACTGATTTGTTCTGCAGTCTTCTCTCAGTAAGCAAGTGACTGAGACAAACACAAACATGTTTCTTTGAGATGGAACAGAAATTACTTTCCTAA